AATTGGATATTGTATCGTTTCGCTTTCTTTCGCGTATCTCTCATTTTCTTATCTCTTTCATTTATTAATATCTTTGTCGACGAATACGCGAATCCGTGCTCACCGAAAAATCACATAAGCCAAAACACCAAAATTATTTTTATACATTGAAACAGGATGTAAGCTTTATCTTGAGGAAGAAAGTATGCACATGAAATTATTCGTGTATCAATCGAACATGTAAAGATCTGTAAGGTATCTAATTTTTGTCGCGAATAATAAGATGGCCATAAAAATTTCCACACATCTACACAGATCTTTTTTTTTTTAAGAAATGGATTCATATCGATTAATCTTTATGTATTCGGAGATATGATATTTTTATCATGGTATCGGAGTCTCTTTGAATAGAGAAAAATGTTCTCTCGTATGTTTCGCGAAACAACGCAACAAATGTTCAATTCGTACATACTTGACTTGCAACCACGTGCCCGGCAATCGAAGGGAATCGCGCACGAGTGGTAGCCTACGCACCACTCGAATACGTCGCTTCGCCGGCCCTGCCAATAAATCTACGTGGGCGAGATCGGCTTTTAGATTAAAAGCGCACGGCTCGGGGGCATATAAAGAGGCGGGAAGGTGGGACTCGATGGTTACCCCATGAAATTTTCGTTCGCGCTCACGGGACCCCCTCGCTACTCGTTCTCGTTTGCATTCGTCGGCACCGCGCGATATACAGGCGCGAAGGTGCTTACTTTCGTCGCGGCCCGAATGCCCGACACTGTGGCTCGTCGAAAAAGGAAGGCGTCGAGAGGAACGAGGGGGCACGAAGAAGAACGACGACGTGAACGGCGGAGAAGAAGAGGAGACGAAGGAGAGGCTTACCGTTGGGAGGCTAAGGGAGGCTTCGTTACGTTCCCTTGGTCCAAGCGTATACGCAACGAGATAACATCGATCCAGTGCGGATATACGCGAGAGAGTACGGCTACCTGCTGGTTATCGTACCGTCGTAATAGCGAAACGTGCTCGCAGGCACATGGCGTGAATTAGATGTACGATTTTCGATTATAGGGGAGTTTTACTTCTCATTATATTGTAGAAAATTCTAACTCGTAGCGTCGACTAGAGCAATGGAGACGTCAATTTATTCTAAACAGTTACCATTATTCTCTGTTACAATTAATGCAATTGTTAACGCTTTGGCGTATAGACCGTGAGCATTTGACCAAAATTTATTTGCGTGTCGCAACTTTAAGCGCGTTATTTCTTATTTCCTCGGGAATAAAGCCTAGTCGCTTTGTGCAGCTTAGCTCGCTTTGCTTAATGTCGCGGTGCAATTAATGCCCTGCGATTCATACGCGCGCCGTTATGCGTCGTGCGTTATTAAATCGATTCATATTCTGACGCAAAGCGCTGAGATTAACCGCTCCGGAGCACGAGATTTCTAACACAATAAAAGGCAAATGTTAGAGAGAGATAGAGAGGGGGGGGGAAGAGAGGCAGACAAACGTACTCATAAATCCATAGCAAAAGGTTATTTTTTCTGTGTGATTATTTATAGAGATAAAACGCTATGTCTGGAGAAAGAGACGCTTTTTTACGGTCGGTTATTTGTCCATTTTATTTTAAACATTTATTAAAAATCCGTGAAAATATAGACGTATCGATCTATATGATAATTAAAATGTTTTGTGGAATTGAGAGATGAATATTACATTCTTTTGCAAACATTAGAAAATAGCAAAAACATTGGTGAAAATTAAAATCTGCACAACGTTCACTAATACACACTTGAGAACTTAATAAATCGTCAAACTACTTTTCTCCGTTAACCCGACGCACCTCCCCTTCGTGGAACATTCCTTCGGGATGCAGCAATTAATCACCCTTTGTTCTTATATTTGCGAATCCCTCGCTGGCTCTCCGTGTGAAACATTTTTACTCGTCGTCCATAATAAATGCCACCCTCGTCGAGCGTTAACGAACCTTCGCGCGGATCCCCGAGTGCGAAATGTACGAGTTATTGCTCGCTGTTGAAGTCACGCCGAATCGTGCGGCCTACGTCGACACGAGGCGAAAGACCGAAAGATACTCGTAAGTTCGCATCAAGTCCGCTCTTTCTCTCCCCCTCTCGCTCTCTCTCTCCTCTGTTTTCTTTGGTCTCGGTCTCCCCGCCTCCCTCGTTGTCTTTCCTCGTCGACAAGCACGGGCCTGCATCGTGTCGGGAGTAAGAGGCGCGATCTCGTAATTATTACGTCGTGAAGGATGGGAAGTGACGCGATGATTACCGCCGTTGCCAGCCTCCTTGAAGCCCCTGATGCACCGTTCTCTTGCTCCGGTTCTATTTTCTTTATTTACCAGCATGCCGGGTACCACTCGTGCGCCATACTTTGCGATTTGGCGACGAGGACGTCGCGTCGCGCATCGCAACGTGTTTCCTCGTAAGCCTCGTGTAGTACATGACGCGGAGCCTTTTACGAAGATAATAGAACGAGGAAATTTTTCCCATCGCGTGTAACAAGTTATAACGCGCTAGTAATTAAGGTTTAATTGGTATGACGATGACGCGATGACTAACAACTTTCATTCGGAGTTTATAAATGGTTGCGTGTGCGTCTGCTCTATTCGCGCGTGGAGAATAATCCGTGGTATTGTGATTGAGCTCGCGGGAGAGTATCAAACGATTTTATCGCCGTCGGAAACAAAGGCCCAAGCGATCTCTCAAGGGGGATTAGATTCGGATCTAATATAAAAGCTCGGGGCTCTCGTCTCGCGACCGGAAATACAGCTGCGGCTATCCGATACCGAATATAAAAACACGAAGAAGAGATCGACCCGGCGAATCATGCGGCGGTGTAAAAGTGCTGTCATAGTCCTGACAGGGTCAATTATCCCCACCGTCGAGCGCCGCCATTCTCGACGTTAATTGTCGAGCGGTATAACGTGGCACGACATGCCGGCAGCGCAGGCGCCACAATAAAAAGAGGAGCAGACGAGAGGAGTGCGTCCTCCTCGCACGGTAGGATGCACCCAGCCGCCATTTTGGTGGCGGTGCAACAGAGGCGTAATAACTGCGGGAATTCATGGTAATGGCGATAATGCGTGCCCGGACGGCGGGGTCCGCGGGGCGGAAGAGGATAGGGGCGAGGCCCCTGAAGAAGGCCCACCGGAGGAGTGGGGAAGCACCGCGTGTCATGATGCAGAAACTTGCGTACGTTTCGAGCGTACGTGCGAACGCCGATCCCGAAGGGGAGAACCATGGGAGCGGGACCAACGTGCTTCTGATTGGTCGGGGCACGTCAACCGGATGTGAAGGTCGGCCCTACGTTGGGGGAAAGCACCCGAGAATTATCCCTCGCAGTTTACGCGAGTTGCGAAAGTAGGAAACGCAGGGAGGTCCGTCGGATTCCTTTATAATCGACCATTGTTATCGTTTGCGAAGCCCTCGTTAATATGTAATATATTCATCAGTTTCTTCCATATCCAAGTGGAATTTGATACAAATAATTTTTTTGGAACAATTAATAGAGGGAAGTTAAGTTCCCTATTTGTAGACAGAATCCTAATATGGGATAGCGGGGTTTCTATTATTTTTTGTGCGCCTGCAAAGATGCCAGACGGTGTGACAGAAATCGCGAGCGACAAAAGTGACAAAAAAAACGCACGTACTGTGCATCAGGTTTGCATTACTTATCATTACGTTTAATGAACGTGCTTAAAACGATCATCTCGTGTGCTCGTAATAACCATTTCTCTCATAACCGACGTTCATCCTGTGTCCAACCCTTGATTTGGAGTAATTCGGAATAATGAAAGTCTTCGTATAGTACTTCCTGCGCGCGGCAGGCAGAGTGAGAAATAAAGATCTCTGAAAGGATCGCGAATCGTAGCATGTATTCTTACAAATTTTACCACAAGCTGCTAGACAATTAACGCTTTCATTTCTGATAAAAAGGTACATTGTTGATATCTCAATATTTTTTTAAAATGAAATTATAAGTATTGGAATAACTTATGAAATTGCACCCTCTTGTACGTGTGTGACGTAACGATAATTAGAAGAGAATCTAACGCGCTTGATATTTACGAGGGTTCCTACAGAGGAGTTTCACAGCAACGTAACAATGAACCTTCGTTGACGTTTATTTGAGAGGGATCTCCCAAAATCCTGAAGCACGTACTAGACTGGAAAAGCTGTTTGACGAATAAACACGTTGCAAACACGGTGGAGTGTGTATACGAGGAATAACCCTCGGTCCTGCTGTGGACAGATGCATGACTCGAAAGACCACTCGTCATCTTTCGAGAACTACTAGCTGAAGTGATGACAAGAAAAACTGACAGAGCATAGCGAATGACGAACGTTACTTGAGGCGAACGTATTTCGATAGTACCTTTACTCGTGCCCGATAGAAACTCGTTGAATCGCGCTTGAGTCTCTTAATATGGAGCAATTAAAACATTTAAATGTAGTCGCAGGTGTTTGAATTTAACGGTACTAGACAGAATGGATCGACAGAATTAAACGTTCTTATTTTCTGAGTGTCGAAATCTTATTTAAATAACGTAAAGAAATATTTAACGCCAATAATTGATTAAACCTATGTAGAAAATTGCTTGACAACCCATGGCTGACAAAATCTAATTAAAGAAATTTATTGCGAAAAAATATTACCTCAGTCAGGGTTTGAACCTGGACCTCCCTACACTCTAGGCGGGCGTCTCACCGATTCGACCTCTTATTTAAATGTCAGTAATTTGATTTTGTCACAGAAGGAATTTCTCGTAGATTTTTATCCATGAATTTGTAAATCTCAGACAAATGATAATCGTCACGGATTTAATTTTAAAGATTTAATTTCATTTTGTACGCTTTTTGTGCTTTTTATATTATGCTTTTTTAAGAGCAAATTTCATGTTAGATTTCCTTGCTTTCGATTACGCCGTATAATAGTAAATATGTAGTTCCAAACGAGCGAAAAGCGATAAAATTCTAATAGGACGAGAAAGGTAAGACTTACCAAGGGTGCCGTCCAGAGAAAAAGAATGCCTATCGTTTCTCCATGCCCACGAACACAAATCGCAGGTGGTGAGCCCATCGGTCGCGATGCTCTCTTCGGGTAGATAAGGTGGTCTAGGTGGTGGCGGTACAAAGCTCCCAATAACAGCCCATAGGGAATCGACGTCGTTGCCGACGCCGGTATAATACAATAAATCTTCCTCGGCGACACCGGCGAACCAGTCCATATCGTTCACACTAGGATGGACTGTGTTCGTACTTGTCGTGGTTGAACCGGTGACCTGAAAATGAGACAGTTGGTCAATGCAAATTTACATAATATAAGAGCATGTTTAAAAATGTGCCAATTACGTTTTTCATTCTTTCGATTTTAATGAATTTTTCATCGTGAAAATTTTATGTATAAAACGTTCGATATGTATTTATGCACGTTTCATTGAATAGGCGCATTTCGTCGTGACAAATTATTGCGCGTTTGTACTTGAATAATGTTAAATAGATGTCTGAGAAATCATCTTCGCGTGTCATAGTGCTGATCACTCAATTCTAATTATAATTAAAAATAGTTGGGAAATTTCACAACATTTCTATAGTCGTATTTATTAAGATTAATTCCATAAAAACGAATTACTGAACGTAATCTGCTATTAGATCCTTCGCGATGTACATTTTGCTAGTCAATATGCCTCCCAATGCTCTGACAGTCCCGAGTAAACACGACTAATGGAACTCCCCTCGTATCTCTGCGCGGTTGTGGAAAAAAAAATCAAATGCATCCAGTCCGTCTCCACTGGTGCATGTTTCAGGAAATGACGGGGCAAACAGACGTTAAAATCGAAAAGAGTGAGGAACAAAGTCGGCGCATCTCCGAACATTTTTCTTGCTTGAAACAGTGGGGAACACCGGATGAAGCGGGTCTTCGCAAAGAGACGTTCAGTGTCCTAACTCTTACGACAAACACTGGAAATTGTATGGGCGGTGGCAAACAAACGCGCCTTCTCTCCTCTTCGCTAGTTGGATCAAGCTTTGCTTGTATAAGAATTTAATGGACAAGAAGCTTAATAAACAACGACCCTACATCCATGCGTTAATCGAGGAAATAAATTATCTAAATATCTTAAATATACTCTTGAAAATTTGCCATACGGAATGAGATATGTAGGGGATAACGAGAATTTCTTTATTTCGATATAAATAAGTTAATAAACGTAGTCTGGCATTTGATGGGAATAAGTTTATTTCAACATGATGTACAGGATGATAGCTTGTATTATTAAGTATACTTATTAATTCAAAATATGCATATTCGATGCATATGCGGGATACTTAATAGAAGCAACCCGATATTATATCGCGTAGTTAGCATGAGCTGAGCAAGAAAATTGAGAGACACTACCGCGTATAGCATTGCATATTTCCGAGTGAGTAGAATGAAAAAATACATATATGCCCTTAAGGTCTACGTAGCTCATGAAATCAAATAATGATTGCTTCGAAATACGATGATTCTATAAGGCGAAATTCCATGCCGTAAGACAGGGTTTAATGGAGAATTCAAAGTCGATAGAGCGAATGACTATTCGTACATCTCCTGTATCGATATTTTCGGCCGTACAGTAACGGTTGAAACACAGAAATATTAGATATTAGACGAATGTATTATTTTTTCTTATCTGACTACTATAATTGCAGTAGATACGCTTGTTTGACGATATAGGAAATTCTTCGAACGTGGATCGCATGCAACCCGTAACTAATGACTTTATTCATCCGTTGCCACGAGGCATTCCGACATGTTTCATGTAAACTGCATACCAATCTAGAATGTGCGATCAGATATTAGAGCGAAATGATACATTCGTAATTTTAGTGTTGGAGATAAATGTAGTTCATCATGATAGAACGGAAATATTACACCGCCTTTAATATGCATTTATAAATTACTATAATATAATAAGTAACTCGTAACTTTCTTAATGCATTTAGTAAGGAAGTGTAAGACATAAAAATAATAATATTAATAATATTAAAATTAAAGCTGATATCTCTCTTAATTTTGATTTATATTTGTTTGGCAGAAAAGTGGCGTAGTAATTAAATGAAAATTAAATACTAGAGATACGTATACAAGAAAGTTTGAAATCTATCTAGAAATTGTAACAACCGCTTTTAGGCAAGCATCGCGAGAACTAATCGATATTCGTGTTCGATCATTATACTTTAACGGATTAAAAAGATCGAGGGGCGTAGAAACAATGCCGCGCGAAGCGTTCCTCTCCATTGAATTCCATCAGCTCCGGATCTGGTCGAACGATCGGACGAAATAATCTCCCCATGAGGGATCCGTTGGTGCGGCCGCGGTGGTTATTCGTGCTCGACGTTCGCGTCGCCGGTAGAGGGTCCAACGGTTTGCGTATCATCGACGGGATCGGGAGAGTCACTGTGTTTATTCTCCTCCCCGTTCTTTGTCGTGGCTTTTCCACGACGGCGAGGTGGTCGCGGTTGAAGATTCGACTGCAGGCAGGATACGTCCTTGTATCTCCACGGAGGGTGGAGCGCTTTTGTGGCGCGCGGAGGAGACTCGCGGGGTCGGGTTTGTGGATAGGAACTTCGGGAGAAGAGACCCTCCGCTCAGCGCACAATGGCACGCATTGATCAGCTTAATTACCGTGATATCGGCGTAATTAAAGCCCCGTTGTGTTGGGGCCCTTTCTACGAAGGCGTCGAAGTAACCCGTGACTCGACTCCCGGCGTCAGGATTCTCGCATTCTCCCCAGTCTCTCTTCTCGATTCCTCCGTATGATTCTCGTCAAGGCCCCTCTGTCACTTCCCCCGCGCTCCCCGGCAACGCTTTGTTAATAAGCCATTATCCGGGCGGCGACGCACCTTCGGCGGGGATCGGCGAGGCGCGCGGCGTTCAATCGCGTGGTGCTTTTAAAGAAGCGCGGCTCGTAGAGGTCCCAACCGCGGAGAAATTACGAAGGCAATTTCATCCGGCGTGTGCGGGACTATCCAGGTGGAGTCGATTTTTCAAGTGAGCACATCCGCTCTATCGCGATTTGATATCGAAGAAAAGAGACGGAGGATTATACCCGCGTAATGACGATATTGAGAAAAAGTTTCGCCTCACATTTCTTCCCATGTTGCTCTTGGCTTGATTTTATTCTTGGTACAATTTTTTTAATAATTGTAATATATTATTATAATTAACGCCGCTAATGTATGCATTGTATACGATATTTTTTATCACTCTGTACGTTAAAGTTTAAACGACAATATCTTGAAACAACCGAGAATCGGCAGACTGTCACGCGCGGTTAACCTTCCCGATTTCTAACGCCTTCGTGGCGATATAAATTTTTGTGTGTTACTGCATCATCTCTCTGCGCGTGTTCGCATTGTCTGGATTCAAGATCGAAATCAAAGTGTCGTGTATTATCCTGCCGAGATAGACTGTGACAAGGAGAATCTCTTAGCCGAGAGGACTCACTCTCGAAGTTTGTGATCGTTTCAAATCTCAGGTTAGTGACACCAAAAATAGTTTGCATTTCTATCTGGGAGATGTAACAATATTCGTATCTAGTAATCGGTTCGTTGTCGACGTGATTACACAAGAAAGATTATTTGTACATATGTATTAGCGATAAAAAGAATTGGTAGACGACTTTAGGCTGGCAGACGGTTTATTTATTTAAATCCAACGTTTCGACCGTACGAGTTGTGGCCCTTCTCAAGGAATTCAACAATAATATTACGTCATTGATATTAAACTATAACCAACATGCCCAGAGATGGATGACAAATCTGTGTTTTTTAGTTTAATATCAATGGCGTAATATTGTTGAATTCCTTGAGAAGGGCCACAACTCGTACGGTCGAAACGTTGGATTTAAATAAATCAACCATCTGCCAGCCTAAAGTCGTCTAACAATTCTTTTTATCGTTAATCAACTACTGGCGATTCACATTCTTTCATATACATTAGCTAATTAAACATCGAAAAATGGCGCCTGTTCGATTAATTTGCGGCGCATTGGTATCAACTTAACAAGGGCTAATCCAAAGTGCTAGACTTGGAGCTATTACTTTCCGATCTCATCGCCTGTGCTCGTTATATTCGAAGGAAACATCTCGTTATAATTACGAGGCGTTGGCGTTTACGAGCGAAAGGGATGAAGCCTTATATCTCCCCTTGTTAACTCTAACATCCTGTTCAGCTGCTCCGTCGTTTCTGGACAAGCCTGGCTAAACCCATTAAAAGATTTGTTAACTCGAGTTTGCGTTCCAATCCCGAATTTGTGCCTTTCATTTCGCATGTTATCTGTAAATTATTTAAATATTCATTTGCGTAACTGATAAAATTCTCTTTTACGTGATAAAAGTATCGCAAAATGATATAAAAGTTGCCATAAAGAGTGAAATTGACCGGGAATTTTGGTGAATGAAATTGAAATACGATTTGTAGATATTGAGAAATATTACGTAATTAGCGTCTAAATGTTTGTGCGAGTATTATGACGATTGAAACATAACTTTTGCGGGATAGAAATATAAGAGACGCTGAAATGAAAGAGCCGACGTCCAGAATGCGACTAAAATTATAGGGTCTCCCTTAAATTTCCATGCTAAAGTGGATCTAAGATGCCTTGGACTTTTCGGTTGCGATTCACACCATTGTTCCGTTTCTTTCGTGTCTCCCTATAACCAACATTCCTCGTCTGTCTCGCCATCGTTCGTTCTCGAATACATCTTAGAGCTCGCACCGCGGAATTCGCGCCCTGTTTCTATCGAGCCGCCACCGCCTCTCGACGTGTTTCGCCGGACCGCACGCATTTGCAATTCTGACACATTTGGCAGTGAGGTATAACGCAGTGCACGCTATTCGCGGGCGAATCTGCTCCCCTCGAGAGACAGAGAGAAAGACAAAAGGGGGAGAATGCCGCACGAGCTACGTGGCGGGAATGTTGGAATATCAAATGATTCTCGGAAAGATCCTCCTGGTCCATCTCGCGTCGCCTCTTCGTCTTCGGTCCCGTTCTCTTCGTCGTCGCTGACGTCGTTTCGCGATCCTCGTGGCCCCCGTGATTTTTCGGTGCTTCTTGGCAGAGGGACGTGTTCATTCTCCTTCTATCCTCCCACCCCCTCTCTCTCTCTCTCTCTCTCTCTCTCTCTCTCTCTCTCTCTCTCTCTCCTCCCGCTAAGTTTGAGGGGTCGTTAAGGATGGGTTCGAGGGCCAGGGCCGTATATAACAGATAATTGACAGCCGTGCCGGGGCCGCCGT